CACGTAGATTTTACCATCTGCAAAAGTCAATCTCCAATTGTAAAAAAGTGGGCTTCACTGCTAGGGGTTTTGGGTATTTCTAGTGAAAGAAAGTAAGTTTGGAGTTTGTGAGAGGTTTAATTGCACCCTATGGAGCAATTTTTTTTAAAGGTTCAATAGCACCTTAATAAACTACTTTTATTTGAAAAGACTTATCGGTTAGTGTTGACAACCAAGGGATAGTGAAATACTTTTAAGGAAGAAAGCTTGAAGGAGTGGACGTAGGCTGACTTAGGTTGTAATACTTTCTTTCTAGCTAGTATACTCGTAAAATAATCAATAAAACTCATTAAAAATATATATAAGAAAATACATATATAAACGAGTAATAAAGTATGGGCCCATATTTAATTTTTTTTATATACAAATATACTAAAAAATAGCAACTTGATAGTGTAGCCCAATCCTTCCACTGCGTGACGTTCTGAGCGACCGCAACTCACCTATTACCTGCAAAACATTAAACACAACGGAGTGAGCACTAATGGCTCAGTAAGTAAACCCGCTATGCTACCCTTTTCTCTCTGTTGCTTAAATTCCGAATTTTCTTTCCTTACATCACATTTCCCGATTATTCTCTTTTCTTTCTCTATTCTTCTCTCTGTTCTTTCTCATTCTTTCTCTGTTTTGCTCTTTGTTTTTCTCTCAATTTTCTAATTTCTCTTTACTCACGATGAGGAGTATGATTATGCATATTCATGATGCAAATGTACAAATGCATAAATTATGCATTTTCTTTTCTATTTTTCTTATTCTGTTTTCTGTTTCTTTTTCTTTATTTCTTTCTATTTTTTTTTTCTTTTTTTCTATTATTTCTTTCTTTTCTATTATTTCTTTTCTTGCCGATCCGACTCAGTTGAGGCATGGATTTGGAGCCTTGGCCATGTGAGTGAATTCTCTAATTCTGGGTACAGTCTTCATCCACACGTACTTCTAACGGACTGTACAATTCTTCTTTCTGAATTCTGAGGCCGCTCACTAAAGGCGGCGTGCATGTGGGACTATGTCACTCACGGGCTCCCCATCACAACAACCTTCTCTTCTTTTTATCTTTTACACTTCTNCTATAGATTCAAGAAGTTGCGAGTGGCTTATTCCTCATACAATCAATTCCAAAGCACTTTCATGTAGATTTTACCATATGCAAAAGTCAATCTCCAATTGTAAAAAGGTGGGCTTCACTGTTAGGGGTTTTGGGTATTTCTAGTGAAAGAAAGAAAGCCTTGGAGTTTGTGAGAGGTTTAATTGCACCCTATGGAGCAATTTTTTTTAAAGGTCCAATAGCACCTTAATAAACTACTTTTATTTGAAAAGACTTATCGGTTAGTGTTGACAACCAAGGGATGGTGAAATACTTTTAAGGAAGAAAGCTCGAAGGAGTGGACGTAGGCTGATTTAGGCTGTAATACTTTTTTTCTAGCCATCATACTCGTAGAATAATCAATAAAACTCACTAAAAATATATATAAGAAAATATATATATAAACGAAGTATGGGCCCATATTTAATTCTTTTTTATATACAAATATACTCAAAATATAATCAAAAATAGCAACTTGACAGTGTAGCCCAACCCTTTCACTGCGTGACGTTCTGAGCAACTGTAACTCACCTATTACCTGCAAAACATTAAAAACAATGGAGTGAGCACTAATGGCTTAGTAAGTAAACCCGTTATGCTATTCTTCTCTCTCCGTTGCTTAAATTCCGAATTTTCTTTCCTTACATCATATTTCCCGATTATTCTCTATTCTTTCTCTGTTCTTTCTCATTCTTTCTCGGTTTTGCTCTTTGTTTTTCTCTCAATTTTCTAATTTCTCTTTACTCATGATGAGGAGCATGATTATGCATATTCATGATGCAAATGTACAAATGCATAAATTATGCATTTTCTTTTCTATTTTTCTTATTCTGCTTCTTTATTTCTTTCTATTTTTATTTCTTTCTATTCTTTCTTTTTTTTATTCTTTCTTTCTTTTCTATTATTTCTTTCTATTCTATTATTTCTTTCTATTCTTTCTTTTCTTGCCGATCAGACTCAGTTGATGCATGGATTTGGAGCCTTGGCCATGTGAGTGAATTCTCTAATTCTGGGTACAGTCCTCATCCACACGTACTTCTAACGGACTGTATAATTCTTCTTTTTCAATTCTGAGGCCGTTTACTAAAGGCGGCGTGCATGTGGGACTATATCACTCACGGGCTCCCCATCACAACAACCTTCTCTTCTTTTTATCTTTTACACTTCTTTAAGTAAAAAAATTCAGATTTGAATATCTTTAATATTCTCATTTCTTTCTATTTTCTCTTTAACATATTTTAGGGCCTTTTCATGCTCTTATGAATATGTATGCATGTAGATGGTTTCATGCTTATAATTCTTTATAATTTCACATGTTTAAATGCAATTATGCATTATGAAATGCAAACATGTCATTCTCTACCATTTACAAACTCATCCCAAAGTAATATATAATCATACTCATACATGCACTTCTCTTTGACATTGCATCAAACAATTCATGTGCACAAATTAACGCTAATTTGGCTATATTTCTATCTCTCTTTTAGACCACCAAAAATTTGGAATAAACTCCACTATAATTAACGCCAAATCTGCCCAAAATACACACTTCAAAAATTTTCACTTCAATTCTTCCAAATCTCATCCAAACATTCATCAAGTATCAAATACATCAACACAACTTCTCATGGATAGGTTTTAATCATTATTCAACACCAAATCCATCAACAATTCTACATATAACACATATATATGCATAAGAAAAATTCTCTACACAACATAACTTAAATCATACTTAGGGTAGGATTTACTTACCTTTGATATGAGCAAATTCAACCCTTTAAGAATTTCCTTTGATCAAACTCTCTTCCTCTTAAATCCTATGAGCATAAACCATCAAAATCAACACTTTAAAAATTAAAAATTACTTCTTAGTGTAAGGATCTTACCTATAGATGCTTGAGATTGAAAATCCACTAAAAAATACCCAAGATCTATGAATTTCTTTTGAAAAAGAAGTGAAGAAATTGAGAGGATTTGGAGGAGAAGTGGCGTGAAAATGGGCTGAAGAGTAGCTAGGGTTTTACTCTTCAATCCTTGATATAACATAAAATTATATATAGTTTCTCATTTTGCCCTTGCACTTTCTTTAAAATTCTATCTATGTCTCTTAGTCAATTACCATAATGCCCTTATTTTTATTGCATTCTTCATGAAATTCTCTCTTTTCACTCCCCACAATGTCAACTAATTTTGAGTGAAAATACAATTTTACCCTTAATACAAGTTTAAGGCATTTTCTTCACATTTTCCTTAAAATAACCTTAGCAAAAATCAATTAAAGGTATAAGAGCATAAATTAAATTAGGTACCTCCATGTGGGCGTTACATAAGCCTAGCCATTACACATCGCCTTGTTTGATTTTCTCTCCCTATCTCTTTGATTTTGTGCAATTTACTTTATGTTCAAGTTTACTCAAATTCTTTCATAAAGTGCACTAGAAAAGACCTTAAGTCACTAAATTAATTTGAGCATATAGTCGAGAAGTGACCTAAGGAGTTTTTAAAAGGCTAATTCACCCCATTTAGGCCACTTCGACCCTTCAACTTCGAGAGATACTAAAGTAGAAATAATTTAAATTTCTAAAATTATTATTTGCTCTTATATATGTTAAATCCAAATCGAATTAACTGTTTCTTGTCTCTTAATTTAAGTATTTGTAACTTTTGTCCTTCAATTGAATTTTTTTTGAAAAATTCGTATCCTAATTGATAAGATTCTCTAAACTGATATTAAAAATTTCTCTTACATTTTTATAATCAAACAAGTGAACAACTAATAAATTTGTCATAAAAAGCTATATTTTTCACATATTAATAATTAGATATATTGAAACTCCCCAAGAAAATCCAAAATTTTGGACTTGTGGACCAGAAAAAAAAAAAAAAAAAAAAAAATTCTTTAATATCGTGGCCACAACCACATATGCAATAGCCACTAAAATCTCATAATTGTTTTTAATGGCTTATTATAACTTCATTATTATATAAGCTACTGTGTGTTTGAGATTTCAGTAACTTAAGAAATAATCAATAAAGTTTTAAGTTAAAACAATAAAAATATTTGACAAACCGCTTTTAAAACCAATTAAGTTTGAAACTGATTATAAAATAATTAGATTTATAAAATGATTTTAAAAACTACTAAGGATAATTTTTCAAAATCAAATTATTTTTAAAGTTGGTTTTGTCTGTTCAAATGACATATATACCCTTGTATTGTACTTTCATTTATGAAGAATTTAAATAATTTTTTTAAATATATAATTTAATTATTTTTGAAATAAATAAAATTGAACGAGCAGAGGAAACAATGGATTGATGCCGACGCAACAGTGGATGTCGGTGGCGATTGATGGATTCTGGTGACTTGTGTTGCCTCTCATTGTCGATCTTGATAAGATTGACATGAGTCGATCTATTGGAATCCGATGGAAACACTGGATTCCAACTCGTTATTTGACCACAAAAGACGATCGAATGTTTCATTGCTTTTTGTGGCAAAACAACAAGAAGGAATCATGTAATTTTATTGGATTTTGATAGATCGACTAACGCTGATCCTAATATGACCGACCATAACATTAACGCTTTACCTTTCACCTATAGTAATGGTGGTTAATCGACTTTGACAGGTGGTGGTAGATCCAAATTTTTTTAAGTTTTTTTAATATTAGTTAATTTATTTACTTAACATAAATTTTTCTTATATTATTTATTATGTCCCTAACAAATTACAAATTTAGAATTATAGAAATATTTCAAGATTTATTAAAAATAAAGATAAGACAATTTAAAAGTAACGAGCAGAAAAAGGGTGAATGGCGTAAATACTGGATTGCTACATGAGGTTATGTAATATGTATTCAATTATTATTCAAAATTCATAATTGTGGAAGGCTTGAGAAAAGGAAGAGAAAAGAAAACCACTCTAAAATGGGAAATTGGTGAACTCCGAACAGATCTGAGATTCTGAAGGTCTTGCAGAACATCGGGACAGAGATATCCTCAACATCCAAGAGGTTGCCGATGAACGAAATTATTAATCTATATCGTTTGAATGGTATGACCTTTAATTTTATGCAAATTCTTGAAGTCTTTAAGATAATAATCTGCCGATTAAGCTTTTTTACTGTTTAGATCGGCCGTCGATCTAACAATGAAGATGACGGTGTCACTAGCGGCTGCCGTCCGGCGACCCCAAAGCAGCCAGTTTTCAGTTTTCCAGAAATTAATACCATATATATTAGATTTTTAATTTAATTAGATTTTTATTTTAGAAAACAGGAATTTAGCTTCTTCATTTGTAGATCTGCAGAGCACCACAAAGACTTAAAACAATTTGCATAGATCTAAAGGTATTGTCATCCAAACGGTCTAAATTGGTCTAAATTAATCATTAACGAATTTCGTTTATCGGCGGCCTCTTGGGATGTTTGATCGTCTTTGTCTCCGTGTTCTGCAAAGTCTTGAGAATCTCACTCATCTGTTTGAGAATTAGTCAATTTCCCATTTTCGAGTGGTTTTGTTTTCTTCTTCCTGAAGAAGAAAGAGGCCCTTTATATAGATCTGATGATGAGGGGTTAATGCCACTTGGAGCCTAAATTTGCTGCTGCATACGTGATTTGATGGGATGAGGACGAACATATGATTTGTGATTTGATGGGAGAATGAGGTAAATGCATATGGGTTGACCTTGGCAAGTTGTTGAAATTGTAGTTGGAACATTGGTGTGCTTTTTGGATTTTATATTGGTTCAATAAATTGATCTATTGAGATTGCGGAGACTTTATGTTAGGAATAATAATAATTCATGAGCACTTCTGGTAGTAGATAATAATAAACCTGTTTTTTTTCATTTTTTTGGTAAGACTATGATGATTATGGTGTGTGTATCTGAAAAAACAACTGAAAAGGCACTCCCTATTCTAAATGGGTAGAAGTTAGCTGTTGGTTTCTGTGTTGAAGACATTTGGGATAATCGTACATGCAATAAAATCCTTCACAAGCTGAGTATCATGGGTTTATCATTTATGCTGGTGGTGTCTTATTTCCTTCTTGTTTTATACATTTTTCCATGTGCAGTTGCACATTTTTGGGACCATTTGATGTTATTTTCTTTTAAATATGTAAACTAAGTGTTCACTGGGTTTTGTGACTTGGTTTTTTTCATCAGGAAACAAAATCTTGTGTAAACACTCAGAAACTGCTGCGTTGGTCTACTACACTGCATGATTGTGTATCAAAATTAAGTACCTGGTAAAAATTCCATTCAGTTGTGTTTATTTACAAATGTTTGGAAGAAGGAGTATTAACACTGACTTCATCTGTTTCAAGATTTAAGATGTCTCAAATTTTGCCTAGTGCAATATGTTATGTATCGGTGGCATTTCAATATTGGTGTTTAACCTGTACGTATGGGTTTATCATCCTATACACTAGTCCCTCTGCTATGCCCTTATATTTTGATTATGCAGTGTCGTTTACATTCAATGTTCGGCATTGGAGAGTGTTGAAGAAGCTTTGATAAGACTTAAAAAATTGCACTTGGCAAGTTCTACTTCTGGAAAAGAGCAATTGAATGCTTGTTCTGACCTTGAGAAAAGAAGAAAACTTAAGAAAGAGACTGAGTGCCTATAGGCATCTTTCAGACCGAAAGCCGTTTCTCTCAAGTAGGCATCTGTCAGACCAAAATAATGGAGATCGAGGTGCTGACAAAGTTGATGTTCCCAAATATTCTCAAGATCCTTTGCAAGGAATTGACAGTCCAATGACTAGGGCAAAGACAAAGAGGATGAAAGAGGTTTTGCAAGGCTTGATCATGAAAGTGCAATACAAAGAAGCTGTACTAGAAGACTCTAAGACTAAATTTGAAGATTTCAAAGCTTCACCTAGGATGACCTATTATCTTTTTATGCAAGGGGACGGTCCAATGACTAGGGCAAAGACAAAGAGGATGAAAGAGGCTTTGTAAGGCTTGATCATGGAAGTGCAATACAAAGAGGTTTACTAGAAGACTCTAAGACTAAATTCGAAAATTTCAAAGCTTCACCTAGGAGGGCCTATTATCTTTTTATGCAAGGGGTAGATTCGGAGGATCATGTTGGATGCAAGGATTAATTTAGGAATTAATTTTCGTTTATTTAATCTTGGACTTTTTTTTTTTATGTTTTAATTATCATTAGATTCTTTAGTCTTTTATTTATTTAAGGTTTATTTAGGCCCAATTGGCTTATATTTAGGCTCAACCCGTTTTTCAATTAGCTAGGGTTTTCTTTTAGGGTTTGTTGCTTATAAAAAAGGGGCAGCCATGTTCTTTTTTGTGAGGACAGATTATTATTAATTGAAGTTTATTTTAAAAAGGTATTTGCTTTGCCTTCTTGTGTTCTTGATTGAATGCTTGAATCTTAGACTTATCAAAGGGAGTGATCAACATTTGTGGTGTCTCAAGATTAGGGTTTTAAGGACTTAGTTTTCTTAGGGTTCTAATTCGATCATCCTCAACACGTTTCTAACAAACCAACTTGTTCCTATTCTATCGAGTTCGTGGGTTCCTAAGGTAATTTGCCTAGAGGAAAACATTCTTTATTTGCTTATTTTTCCCGTTGAGACATTGATTTTATCTTAAAAGCCAATATTTGTTGTACTTCAAAATAACTGCATTTTATAATCTGTCTATTATGTCTATTACTTTTAGTAACATGTTGATGGGAACCTGGATTCTCAATGCTCAAAAGAACCCAACAGATTATAGTTTACCCAACAGGACAATATTCCAAACACAAATCAGAGATAATTGAGAAAGCACTAATATGAATATTCCCCTGAATTGATTGATAAAGAAATGGATAACAATTGTGAAGAACAAATAGAAAACAGTGTTGAAATGTGAAGATAAGCTAGCTTTTCGAGGGGCTAGTCCCTCCCAAATTCCTACTGAAAATATTCTCTACTTTTACAATTTGGATCCCTTAATTTATACTCACGTCACACTAATTTCATTGTTCCTGCCACGTGGATAACTAACTCCCACTTGCACACCCGCTAATTGCCCTTAAAATTTCTTTTGTAAATGTGAGTAGTAGGGGTCGTACCACATGTTTTCTACGAATAAATTGTTAAGTCACATACTTGATTACTAGGTACCCACTAGGTCTAGAGGTGGAACATTTGGGCCAGGTTAGGTGGGTCAACCCTAACCCGGCCCGTAACGAAGCGGGTTGAACCTGGGGTTGACCCTAACCCGGCAGCAACCCTTGGGCGGGCCGGGTTGCAAAATGGCAACCCGTAACCCGACGGGTTACTGTTTTGTCTCTTTTGAAAGAGACCTGCCGATGGGTTGGCTGAAAAAAATAAAACAAAAAATAAAAAATTTTATTTTATTTTTCAAATTATCCCTTTACCCTTGAAATATAGCCCTTTTGTAGCCGTTGGAGGGGTCTTTTTCGTCATTTTTCTTTCCCATTTTTTCCTTTAAATTGGCCCTAAACTCTCACATTTTTCTCACAACTCAAATTCTCTCATTCTCTCATATTCTCTAATCTCTAATCTCTCAATTATTCATTTATTCTCTTAATCTCTTTGTTATCAATTTGCTCGTATTTTAATTTTTATTAGTTTTTGCAATTTTTAATTCATATTTCCAATTTTCCAAATTCCAATTTCCAAATTCCATATTCCAATTCTCTTTCTTTAATTTTTATTTCTTCTACATCAATTTTTTTTTTCAACTACAATGGATAGATATTTCTCTCCCATCAATTACAATGATGAAGGAAACTACTATCCTAGTCCTAGTCCCGCTGATTTTACTAACATAAATGCAGGAGGAGATTCAAATAGTCCCGCTTTCCCATTCTCAGAATCCGATACACCTCAAAATATGCCCCCGATTCCAACAGCTCCCGGTGGTTCTAGAAGTCGTCCTCGTAATCGTCGTGCTCGTCCAACTTCATCTCAAGCTGAGGCGGGATCATCAACTGCCGTCGAAAGCGAAGACAGACACACATCAGACGTTTGGGCGCATTTCGACAAGTTTTACGAGACAGAAAATGGCGTTCAAGTCAAGAAAGCAAGATGCAAATATTGTGCAAATGTTTATAAAGCTGATTCAGGTAATGGTACTAGTACTTTAAAAAGGCATGCTAATAAACATATTAATCAACATGGAAATAGAGAAAGCAATCAAACTCAAATAACTAATATGGGTACTACTTGGCGTTATAATTCTGATGTATATAGGAAACAGTTAGCTTTATATATTGCTGCAACTGATCAACCTATTAATATGGTTGAAGATAAATATTTTGAAAGATTTGTTCAAAATTCATTTTTTTCCAGGATTTAAAAGTTATTCTAAAACTGCAACTAGAAATGATTTAATAAAATTGTTTAGAAAAATGAAATTAGAATTAAAAAATAAATTTCATACTTGTCATATTAGTGTGGCTTTAACTGCTGATATTTGGAGTGGTAGAGCTAAACAAGATTATATTTGTGTGACTAGTCATTATTTTGATAATGAATTTAAATTAAATAAATCTTTATTAGGATTTAGATTAATGGATGTGGATCATAGTGGTTTAGAAATCTATAATAAAATTATTGAAGTTTTAGAAGATTATGATATTATTGATAAAGTGATAAGTTTAACTTTAGATAATGCAAGTTCTAATAGTAAAGCTATAGAATTTTTTCAAAATAATTATCTTTTATATAATAATTTGAAGTTTTTTCACCAACGTTGTGCATGTCATGTTATTAATTTAATTGTGAAAAGTGGTATGAAAACAATTAAAAAAAATATTGATAGAATTAGGGAATCTTTAGCTTGGATTACTAGTAGTAATAAAAGAAATGCTGAATTTCAAGAAGCTTGTATAAAATCAAATATGTCTCCTAGAACTTTTGCATTAGACATGCCTGTTAGATGGAATAGTACTTATTTAATGCTTGATTCATATTTACCTTATGCTAATATAATTAGTTATTTTGTAGCAAATAATAGAGGTCCTTATTATTTGATAGAAAATGATTGGCAAATAGCTAAAGTATTTCATTCTTTTCTTAAAACTTTTTACCAATCCACTTTACAACTTTCTGGTGTGTATTATCCTACTAGTCCATTGGTAATACACACAATTATAAAAATTTTCGAGTTATTTATAAAAAACAAAGACAACGTAATTTTAAATGCACCAATAAAGGCAATGAAATTTTTTTTTTTTTAAATATTGGAACCCATTCCTTTTCTTTATTGTTTAGGCGTTATATTTGATCCTAGAATTAAATTAGCAGGTTTAGAAAATGGTTTTGACAATTTATGTGAAAATTTACAAACCGCAGTATATGCCAATCAAATAGGAGAGGTAAAAAATAGACTTTTCAAAGTTTATTTCCAGTATGAAAACAGGTATAAGAACCCGCAAAGAGGCGAAATATCAAGGGAAGCTGCATCAGAAGAAATAAATAAAGACTTCTACTCTTGGGGAAGTTTATATTCAATGTTTGGTTCTCGTGAGTGTTGAAGAAGCTTTGATAAGACTTAAAAAATTGCATTTGGCAGGTTCTACTTCTGGAAAAGAGCAATTGAGAGCTTGTTCTGACCTTGAGAAAAGAAGAAAACTTAAGAAAGAGACCGATTTCCTATAGGCATCTTTCAGTCCGAAAGCAGCTTCTCTCAAGCAGGCATCTGTCAGACCAAAAGCATTCTTTATTTGCTTATTTTTCCAGTTGAGACATTGATTTTCTCTTAAAAGCCAATATTTGTTAGACTTCAAAATAACTGCTTTTCATAATCTGTCTATTATGTGTATTACTTTTAGTAACATGTTTTCTACAAATAAATTATGTCACATACCTGATTACCAGGGACACTAGGTCCAATACATCATCTAGAGGTGGGCATTTGAGACTGTGTCCAAACATTCGGCCCAAAAACCTAATTCTAGGACCGATCCTAGGAGGTTTGATCTCAAAATTGGACCAGGCCTAAGGAGAAGGGCCCGGTCCCTCCACTGGGCCCTCCTCCAAGGCTCGGGCTAGGACCGGTCTCAGGCTTGGGCCCAAACTTTTTTAATTATTTTCTTTTTAGTCTCTTGTATAATTACATATAACTCTTTTATAAATTTTGAAATAAATATAAATTATAGGGGTTAAAAACGAATTTTACAAAATTTAAAAATTTTTTTTTGTAATTTTTGTTTAATAACTATTGGCAATAGCCAATGGTCATTTTTTTTTTTTGGGAGGGTGAGGGGGAGGTTTTTTTTTCTTTCCATTCTCGTCTCAACTACATTATAAATAACTGTCAAATCTCTTATTTTTTTCACATCACTCAATCTTTCATTCTCTCTACTCTACTCTACTTCAAATCTCCAATCAAATTCTCATTTAATTTATATTTATAATTTATTCATATTATTTATTTATATTATTCAATTTTTTCTATTTTTCATTATCATTTCTTATTCATATTATTATTTAAGTTTTTTTCATTTTAATTATTTATTGTTTTATTATGAATTCATGATGGATTCTCGAAATGATGCATTCGGAAGATTATTTCCAAATGAGTTTTCCGTTCCATCCACCGAAGAAATAAAACGGTTCAATCCATTTTCACCATTTCCTCCAGAGGCAGCAACTGCAATTCTACAACCACATTCGGCTGGGATGAGGTGTAGCCAAACACATGCGAGCTGCGAGTCAACGGGTACGGGCATAGCTCAACCCCCCCAACCGTCAAAGAAGGTCGTGTTCGATGTATGACGACACTTCATCAAATCAAAACGGCCAAAGACAAATGGGGAGGGGGAAGAATCGT